CACCACCACCGCCGTCAACGTCCACCACCACCACCCTTCACCACCACCCTCCACCACCACCACAATCGTCCATACACCACCACCATACACTACTACTATTAATTTATATAGCAATGTACAGACATTAAAAAACAAACAGTCTTCTTCTTGCAGACCGCAGACCTTCGATCCACCACTTCTCCTGCAGATGTCTACAGTAGTGGTCCGCAGACTGCAGACCTTTTCCCGCAGAAAAAACAAACACCCCCTAAATATCCAAAATCATAGAGGCGTTTAAGGTTTGTTTAATGCGTTTAAGGTTGATAAATAATTATTTTGACGCAGCGCCTATCCAAAATTATGGCCGTAAGGGGAGGGAAAGGCATTTAAGGCGTTTAAGGTTGACAAATAAATAGTGACTTAATAAGAAAATATTTTAGATCCAAATATCCAAATCCGGGCGTTTAAGGTTTGACACAGCGCTTCTCCCTTCCCCCACGTCCATAATTTGGATCGTTAGGCATTAATTTATAAAAATATTTTCAATACTATAAACACCCCTTATTTGTAACACAATAAACACAAACAACTTGTTCACAATTCTCTTCATAATTCTACTAATTATTCGAAAAAAGGGATCATCATCTAACGATGAAAAGAGAGCTCTCATTTTTCGTTATCAATGGTAACAACAAGGCCAATGAGAAGATATTTTTATTCGCTCGAATAATCACTAATTTCTTCATAATGTAATGTAACTTAATTTGTGTTCTTATTATTCAAATCTTATTATATTAATGTAATTCTTTATTGAATGTAATTTGGAATTGTTGTCATTTAAATTCAATTAAATAATGAAATCTTATTAATTTAATTTTAGAAAATGTGTATTAAAAATATAATAAATCATTTTTATAGTTATAAATATTACAATTTTATTTTATTGAATCTCAAAATTTATTTAATTTGACATAAAAAATCAAACTGAGCGAGTCAAATACACTGGGATGATGGGAGCATATCCTTTTACATGGATATTCCTCTATGTGTCAAAGGTCATTTTTAATTTACTCCTACCGTTTTGATTTTAATTACAATTTTATTTTTTTTTTCTCTCGATAACTTTTTGATAAAATAAAATATTTTTATCATCTCTTATTTTTGTAGAGCTTCTGACGTAGATTTGTAATACGTATTTTCTATTTCATATTGATGTACCAATTTAAAAATAAAATAATCAAAAAATTAATATTTTATCTTGCAATTCCCAATTTGTAATCAAATTTGAAACAGAGTGAGTATTTTTTACATGAAGCTTTTTTCTTATCGAAAGTTGAAATGAAATAGATATACTCTAAAGGGTCCGCTTAATATAGAAAATTTACAAAATCGGATTTGAATTGAAATTAAAATTCTATGGAATTGAATCCAATTCTAATTCATTTTTTTTGCACTAACAATTTCAAAACCATATATTTCTGTCCTAGCAAACAACAGGATGGGAATTGAGGTTCCTAATTACAACAACAACAACAACCCAGTTGAATCCCACAACAGTAGGGTCTGGGGAGAGTGTAGGTACGCAGACCTTGCCCCTACTCGGAAGTAGGGAATATGTTTCCCAGAGAAATTGAGGTTCCTAATTATAATTCTATAATTCTAATTTCATGTACCAAACGGAGCTTAAAAAATTTCAAAAAAAAACCCTTCATAGAATAAATACGGAGTACGTAGTATTTACTAGACCAAGTGTTGTTGAAGGGCTAAAGTCTTGAATTCTCGTACCAACCATTTTTATCTTGCACCTTTTTTAACGTTGCATTATTTCACAATTGAATTAGTATACATAATACAATATAAAAATACGGTGGGGTCCCATGACATTAGATGACTCGAGGACGCTTTGATACCCTGTTTGTAAAATTGATAGTTCATATCCCTCTAACTCCCTTGGTAACTCCCCATATCCCGCCCCGATTCGAACACTCCCTCATCCCCTTCAATTACACCCCACAAGTTAATTTTGACTTTGGAGTCAAATTTTGACTCTAAAATCAAATTAACTTGTGGGATGTAATTAAATGGGGTGGAAGCGTGTATTTGGGTGGGGTGGAGGATTTACTGGTGAATTTGGAGAATAAAAATCATCAATTTTACGAACGTGATACCAGAGCACTCTCGAGTTATCACATGACATTGCTCGCATGTCATGGGAACTGTTCGGATAAAAATATATCTGAGTATTTTATTTAAGAAAAAAATTTTACTTGGTGAAATAAGGGACCTATAAGGGACACTACTAAAACCCGAAAAAAGAATGTTGAAGGACCGAAAAGGACCGGTCAAGTCCTGTCTTGAATAAATAATGCACTGGTGAAATAAGGGACCTATAAGGACCTCTTTTGCCCATAAACTAAAATTAGCAATAATGAATACTTTCAATTTTTTACCATCCAACTTTTAATCGGACTATTTCTGTGATATTGTTTGGTGAAAATAATAAATACTCCGTACTACTCCCTCCGTCCCTAATTTGATTACAAATTGCGGGTTACGGAGTAAAATTTTCTACTTTTTGAAATCATTTTATTTACAAATTGGTATATCAATAAGTTATAAAAATTACATATTAAAAAACTACGTCAAAAGTTCTACAAAATAAGAGGTGACAAGAATATTTTATTTTATCAAATACTTGATGAAATCGCGTAAACAAACAAAAGTTATCGAGAGGAGAGAGAAAAAAAAATTGTAATCAAATTGGGGACGGAGGGAGTATATTTTTAAAAAGCTTAAATTAGAACTGTACTTGGGAAGAGTATTTAGTTTAAAACAACGGTCAATTACTTCGGAAGAGTATCCTGTGATATTGTTTGCATGCACA